CAACCTCGGTATTGAGAAGAAACTTGCAAATATCAGGGTACTTTTTAATGCCTGATATTTTCTGTAATAATTAACCAATATATTAGGGAATCTTCTTTTTGTTACCTAGCATAATTGTTTGCTTCTAGGCTAGTTTTCTGTAAACACTATTAGGAGTCTGACAGCATAATGTGCCTTATGGATTAAAAAACACCACCAATTTAGAGTTACTCCCAATGAATTTATAGATGTTTGTACTTAAGCACCCCTCCCCCATTTTTTGGTGAACCCCTGGCAGTTTCTAGTAGGTACTTCCCCTTCCTGTCTACCATAAATATATCTGCATGGAAAAAAAAAATAAAAGAGCATATTTTTTCAAAATGTAAACCAGATGTATGATCAATTATATTTAGTGATTGAGTTTGTGCTTTCATTTTAATCTCCTGGAAAGTGCTCAGTACAAAATTTTAGCTTCCAGTGGGTACCTTTTTGCATTCTTCCTTCTTACCTGAAACAGGACTTGCAGCCAAGCTACATACAACACCTCATGCTTACAGATGAGTTCTAAAAAGACCTTCAAACAACTTTCTCTATACTTATCATTACCAGTAACATTCATAGCAGTGATCCAAATATTTTAAATATTGACATAGACTTATGCAGGGTTCGTATGCATGAGAATTTTGTGCAGGACAAGCCTGACAAAAAGCCACCTTCTTCCTCAAATTCAACATACACTTAAACAGGTAACTTCCACCAAGTGAAAGCTCCTCAGTGTATTTTCTGTTTTCAGTGTTTTTAGGATATTTATCTGGACCAAAAAAAAAAAAAAAGAAATAGTTGCAAAATGAAACAGAAAAATACTGAGAGCCCTTTCTCCATTTAATAGAAAATAAAATTAAGGAAATAAGTACTTATTTTTAATGCATTTCCATTAGGCTTTTGTGGCTCACTTTGTTGCTGGAGCAGCTGACTGCTACCCCACTATGTGTTTCTGTGCCTCCCATGTTTCTCTACTTCTTTGAACTGATTTCTCTTCGTTTTACATCTTGTTCAGATCGCTGAAGGGTCCAGATTTATATCTTAATCTTCTTTACTAGTTCCTTCTTCAAATTACTCTTTTTCCACTCAGCTGCAACCCAAAATCCCATTGCACCCACTCTGACCCCCACCAATCCAGTACTTGTTTGCTCATCTCCTGCTCTCCCACCCTTGCTCTCTCTCAGCTTAACTCCTGCTGTCCTTTTCCTGACCTTGGTTGGTAACCTCTTAATCAGCTATGACTCCACTTTCTCCATTTCTTTTTACAACTAGGCATTAGCTAATTCTCACCCTCATTCTTTAACACCGTCTCTCAAAAATTTTTCCTCCTAAGCTTTATTGCCAAAATGATCCCCACTTGTGTTAATTTTTTTGCCTCATTCCCTGCAATGCCAAAATGATCAACTGGTTTTTGCCTTATTCCCTGCAACTCTCTTCCTATGTGAATCTTGGCCACACTGTCTCTTTTCTTAGGTGCATCCAGATGCAGCTGCGAAATTATTTTGGTTTTGTGCCCTTCTCTTTTGTGGCTTCTCTTACTTCCTCCAAAGAGCCAGTAAGATTCTGTTTGCTGATTATGCCTTACCTTTTATTTCCTGACTTGTAAAGCACTGCAAAATAAAGTAATAAAAATGAAATTAAATAACACAAACATTCATACACATTCTCAGAATCCCTACTCTTGAAAAGTGTGGATGCCCACAGGCAGGAAGTTCAACATCCTGCCGTGATATCTATGTTCCTGTTCTGGGTGTTCTAGCCTAGGTGTGGGGAGGAAATATATAGAGGCAAAGAAAACTCCACAATAAAGCCTCCTAGTTTCATCAGGAAAACAGGAAAAAAAAAAAAAAAGCTTCTGTTTTGATCAAAAAATATTTTACTTTTTTAATGTATTTTATTAAATTCAGCTCAATATCTGGAAGTATTAACATAATTGAAAACCACTGAAATTAAATGTTAGTTTTAAAAAACATTTCTAAGCCAAACTTTAGTTAATTCAACTTTATCCAAACCCATCTCTTTTGTTGAACAAACTGTTCACATAAAAAAAATCTATCCAGAGTCAGATTCTCTGAGGATGTTTCATACGATGTTTTCATCCGAACTAGAAGGAAGTGCAGCAGGAGGGCCAGGAGACCTCCTTGGATGGATAAGGAGCTGCTGAGAAAAATTCAAAGGGAAAAAGAAGCTTATAAAAGGTGGAAGCAAGGACAGGCAGCCTGGGAAGAATACAGGGATGTTGTCTGGGAAGCTAGGGACCAGGTTAGGAAAGCTAAGGCCCATTTAGAATTAAACTTGCCTAGGGATGTTAAGGATAACAGGAAGGGATTCTATAGTCATGTAGTGAATAAAAAACAGACTAGGGACAATGCAGACCCCTCAGGAAGCTCTCAGGAGAACTGGCTACACAGGATTTGGAAAAGGCTGAGGTACTGAATGACTTCTTTGCCTCGGTCTTCACTGGCAAAGGCTCTGACTGCACCACCCAATTCTAGGAAGGCAAACGCAGGGACTGTGAGAATGAAGACCTTGGGTTTGAGAGCATCTTAAAAACCTGAATGTACACAAGTCCATGGGACCTGATGAAATCCATCCGTGGGTCCTGAAGGAGCAGGTGAATGAAGTTGCTAAACCACTGTCCATCATATTTGAAAAATCGTGGCAGTCAGAGGGAAAAAGGGAAACCCATTTTCAAGAAGGGGAAAATGAATGACCCAGGGAATTACAGACCAGTCAGTCTGACCTCTGTGCCTGGTAAAATCTTGGAGCAGATTCTCCTGGAAGGCATGCTAAGGCACATGAAAAACAACAAGGTGCTTGGTGACAGCCAGCATGGCTTCAGTAAGGGGAAATCCTGCCTGACCAATTTGGTGGCCTTCTATGATGGGGCTACAGAACTGATGGACAGGGGTAGAGCAGTTGATGTCATCTACCTGGACTTGTGCAAAGCTTTTGACATTGTCCCACACGACATCCTTGTCTCTAAATTGGAGAGACATCAATTTGGTAGATAGACCACTTGGTGGATTAAAGAACTGATTGGATGGCCACACACAAAGAGTTGTGGTCAATGGCCAATGTCCAGCTGGAGACCAGTAACGAGTGGTGTCCCTCAGTGATTGGTGTTGGGACCGGTCTTGTTCAACATCTTTGTTGGTGACATGGACAGTGGGATTGAGTGCACCCTCAGCAAGTTTGCTGATGACACCAAGCTGTGTGGTTCGGTTGATACGCTGGAGGGAAGGCATGCCATCCAGTGGGACCTTGACACACTTATGAGGTGGGCTGATGCCAGCCTTATGAAGCTTAACCATGCCAAGTGCAAGGTCCTACACCTGGGTCGGAGCAATCCCAGGCAAAGCTACAGGTTGGGCAAAGAAGAGATTCAAAGCAGCCCGGCAGAGAAGGACTTGGAGGTGCTGGATGATGAGAAAATGAACATGAGCCAGCAGTGTGCACTTGCAGCCCAGAAAGCCAATCATATCCTGGGCTGCATCAAAAGGAGCGTGACCAGCAGGTTGAAGGAGGTGATCCTGCCCCTCTACTCTGCTCTTGTGAGACCTCACCTGGAGTATTGTGTGCAGTTCTGGTGTCCTCAACATAAAAAGGACATGGAACTGTTGGAACAAGTCCAGAGAAGGGCCACAAGGATGATCAGGGGACTGGAGCACCTCCTGTATGAAGATAGGCTGAGAAAGTTGGGGCTGTTGAGCCTGGAGAAGAGAAGGCTGCGTGGAGACCTCATAGCAGCCTTCCAGTATCTGAAGGGGGCCTATAGGGATGCTGGGGAGGGACTCTTCATTAGGGGCTGTAGTGACAGGACAAGAGGTAATGGGTTAAAACTTAAACAGGGGAAGTTTAGATTGGGTATAATGAAGAAGTCCTTTACTATGAGGGTGGTGAGGCACTGGAATGGGTTGCCCAGGGAGGTTGTGAATGCTCCGTCTCTGGCAGTGTTCAAGGCCAGGTTGGACGAAGCCTTGGGTGGCATGGTCTAGTGTGAGGTGTCCCTGCCCATGGCAAGGGGCGTTGGAACTAGATGATCTTAAGGTCCTTCCCAACCCTAACTGTTCTATGATTCTATGATTTTCGCCTTGAATATAAACATTAAAAGGCATGGGAGTTAGGCACAGAGGAAAGTATAGTATATTCTCATCTTTAGGTATTCACTTTTCAGTTGAAATAGGAGACAGACTGGGGGAAAAGAAAGTATAATACCTGGTTCTCTATTGCTGGTCTGTTACCAGCAGATATACTAGCCACTTAATGGGTATTTGATAAGGGAAACAACTACAGCAGGTCCTGTAATGGTACTTCCCAAGGCATTGTTGATTTTAAACACAGTCACAGTTTGTCTTCCACTTTTCATGCTGTTTAACACATATTAGATCAGCTGCCTTCCTGAGTTTGTCTGTCATCCAGTGAGGGCACTCAGTTATTGCACAGTCAGAGCTGAAGGGTGTCCTTGGGTGCTGGTGAGGCACAAAGCCAGCTGGAAGCCAGACTGTACACACAGGGAAGGGGCTGCAGCAGCTTATTGCAGCGCTGGCTGGTTCCATCTCAGCAGCATTTGTTTAGCCCCATGGAATTCCATGAAAGGAGACAAAGAATCGAAAAGGAGGAATTAGCTGGAGCAATTGCTTGAGAGTTACTCAGAGGTCAAACATACAGACCAGCAGCCTGATTCAGTGTGTCCAGAGCTAAAAATCTTCAACTATCACCTACCTGTCTTCACCAGCAATTTTAGTAGAATGAACCTGCCTGGAATAGGCTTTTATACACTGGAATAATTTTTAGGATTTTTGTCCTTTATTTCAGTTATATTCAACCTTTCAAGTATTGTGCATCAGTCCTCAAGTGTTATCTTCGGTCCTTTCAAAGATGCTTAGAGTAGCATGACAGTCTGCCTAAGTTTAATATAACACCTAATTAACTCCATGTGTAAACCAAATGCTTTTCTTTTTTTACTCAACATGATTTTAGTCTACTACGTGTTCTTCCCAATAAGCTATCTTTATTTCTGCCATAACCACATGTGTGATTAGCATTTCATGCTTTTCAGGCATTTCTTCAGTGCTTTCTAAAAATTGACTGTAGCTGAGGTGTTCTCTATTGACTGGAATGCTATTTCTTTTTTACAAGTCTGAGACATTTCTACAGATTTATGTTAAGTTTTTTAAAGCTCTGCACAGCTCTCACTATCATCTCTAGCAACCCAAAAGTTTCCCAACAGTATTTTATTACATCTGTTAAAATTAGGCCTGTGTAACTTTAATTTATACTCCCAGCCATAGTAAAACCTGCTTTATGAGCACTAGAATTATAAATGCTTTCACTTCTTAATCACACTAGTCTCAAATAGAAAAATAACATATTTTGATCCATGAAGATCTGCATAAAATGTGGGCTTGCCCACTGTTTGCTTTACAAAGCAAGAGTATCTTAGCTATTCTTCCACTAAACTTTCCAGAGGCAAAGAAAATTTTGCTGGTACACTCAGTAAGTACTGATATGACTTTAAACATATTTGCATTAACTACTGTGCCTGAAAATGGTGTAGTAGTCGTTGAATGTTGTTTAATGCAAGTGGCTGAGGATACACTGATGAAACTTTCATTTTTAATCACTTAAGGACCAGCAGAAGAATGAGCGTGGTGCTCTGCATCATGCTGCCAGTGGTCACATCATGAGTCCACATGTTCACAACACAGATGCATCTGCTGTAGTTGTTTCATAGGCTCATCTGACACTCGTACTGCTGAAGTCAGGAGAAAGACTGCAAAGCACGAAAGCTCATGTACATGTTAGAAAGTAGTGTTCAGCGATGGAATTAAACATGAATGCACACCCCACCCCACCCCCCCCTTAACTTGGGTTGTTATCACTTAGGAGAAAGAAAAATATACTAGATTAGAATAGAATAATTTCAATTGGAAGGGACTTACAATGATCATCTAGTCCAACCACTTCAGGGCTGACCCAGATTTAAAGGATGTTGTTAAGGGATTGTCCAAATGTCTCTTCAATATTGGCAGGCATGGGGCATCAACCACCTCTCAAGAAAGCCTGTTGCAGAGTTTGGCCTCCCTGTTGGTAAAGAAATACTTTCTCATGTCTGATCTAAAAAAGCAATCATATTTACTAACTACTCTACAGTCTTTGTGTTCTCACAGGCAGGCAGGTGACTGGCAATGAAGATGCCAGCTGAATGCTCAAATCCATTTGTCTTGATGCAGTATATGCTAAGCAAAGAGGTCAGACTCCAGTGCAGCTTAAAAAACAAACCAAAGCAAACGCTCAAAAAATATTTTTCTGCTCTTCTTTGAACCCCTAATCAACCACCCAAGAGAAGGGCTGTGGCTATGCCAGCGTCCCGTGCTAAAATCACAATAAAGCTTTACAAGGACAAGTGGCTGATATGCTGCAAGATATATGGGGTTGGTTGTTTGTTTGCTTGCATGTTTGTTTTACAGTAGGTCACCCTCAGCTTCTTAATCTGCAGCATTTCACTGATTCCAGACAGTGATCATCAGAAAAAAAAAAGTCCTGGGAGATTTAATTCTGTTTTTAACCATCAGAATTTAGACAAGTCGAGGTGGGAAGGGACCTCTGCATATCATCTGGCCCTGCATTCTCACTTGCAGATGTGCATATGAACTGATTTTGGCAGAAGTCCAGCTGTGGAGAGGGTATGGATTCAATATTCTTCTAAGACAACAATTCTGAGCTGATAAAAATTATAGTTTTTCTGAAAGAATTTGCTTTGCAATTGATTCCCAGTGCATTTTTTCTGCTCTGTGTATTTCTTTGTCTCTGACTACTAGGTTCTTGAGTTTCAAGAAATTTCTATGTTTCTTAAACTGTTCTTAGTCCTATATAATTTTGAACTTAATTTGAACCATGAGCCAGTATTTCATGGTGAATTACACATAAATCAACTATACATGTCATCATAAAAGAAATTTAAGGCTTTTTGTTCAGACTGATTTTCTCTATGTCTGAAGAAGAAAGCACAACCATAAACCAAAGTTTCATCCAACAGGGATTATTTCCAATAATATTAAAAATATTTACAATAATATTTACAATAAACTTGATAGAATTTTCCTTTACGTGTAAATGAGCAAGCACTCCAGAAGCAATCACAAAGTATGTAATCCCCCTCTCTCTTATACATATGATTAAGGATTGGTTATATTCCAGACTGAAAGAGCCATAACAAATTAGAATATTTCTCAGCAGGATTTTATGCCAACACCATTTAAATAAAATGATATTAATAAATAAATAAATAAATAGCACCACACTATTATTATAATTTGAAATTCTTATGACAGGAACAGACATTATAGCTTTATGAGGGTCAGTAGTAGAAACTTATTTTTTCTTCTGGAATGTTTTTAAATAACGTATGAATTTTTTTTAAAAAAGTGACTGCAGTTCTGAGACTTCACAGGAAGAGTAAGGTACTTTACATAAATCTAATGCTGCTCCAACACCACTGTCTTAATGGGGAAAAAAAGCTTCTTTCATTTTGAATGTTGGAAATGGCCTACTAGAAATATTGAGGCTCAATTCCTTTTTCATTCTGAACAGACAAAATCTCTGTTAAAATGCTCTTTAACAAAAAAAAAAAAAAGAGAAGTCTATAAATATTTTCATTTTTAATATAAAAGGGATAATAGGCTTTCTTAAACTGTTATTTCTAGTGAAAATAACCCTCCCTTTATTATTCTCTTGTGTTTTCTCCATCAGATCCCTGTTACAGTGAAGCAGGAATTTGAATAAAGGAAAATGTGCTTTGTTATACAGTGAGCTAGAATATTAGCAAGATAGTACATCTTTATGCCTTACATTCCCGTTTTTAATTAAGATATGCTTGGGTTTTATTAAGTTTAAAGTGAAAGATTTTTCCATAAAGCTTTAAGCATAATAAACCAACTTCACTGTGCCTTTTTTTTTTTTTTTTTGGCATGCATAATGCATTTTGAAATAGTATTATTGTCTAGAGACTTTTATAACCTTTAAAACATTTTAGAAACAATTAAACATGCCTTTCTTAAAATAAAATCTTTCTTGCTACATTCAGCACAGGACTGCTGAGGTCTCAATTTTCAACACTACAACATTTGCTTTGAGCAATAATTAAAAGCAAAAAAAAGCTATGAGGCAGCCTGTGCTTGCCAATTGCTGTTTTCTATTTCATTTGTTCCCCTTCTGTTTTTCCATTTGTTTAAAGTTATTTTATGGGGAACTGAAAGCAGCACCATACAGTCCACCACTGCCACTGAACACATCACAAAAAGAAACCTGTGTAGCAGTGGTTGTACAAGCATGCCTACCTGTGTCCCCCCCTAGCACTCCAACCACATCTGCATATGGTAACACTACAAAAGCAAAACCTAAAAAGCATTCTTTCAAATCAGTTACATATCCAAAAGTCAGATTCAGTCTACTGCCAGGCTTTAAAATATTAGCCATTAAAATCATCAAGGCTAACCAAACAAGAGATGAATTTCTTGACATTTTGTACTGTCACATCATCATGTCTCCTAAATGTACTCTGAAGCCCTCATGTTTTACCTCTTGAAGTAAAGTGTAATGTTCAGCTGATTAAATGCTTAACATGTATTGTCAAGAAATACTTGACAAAACTAAAGTTTAGTCATAAACATTCATCTAGGCTGGATCAAAGGTCCTTGCTTCCCTCGAGCAAAACAAAGTGTGAAAATCCTGGTTCTACAGAAATCCAGAGGAACAATTTTGTTATTGATCTCATAGGAGCTAGGATTTTATAGTAAGTAGCTTGGCACAAAAATACACACCCCCAAAGCCTCCCACCCTGTAACCCTTTCCCTCCTTTCTTGCTCTCCCCAGCTAGGACAGTGCCAGTCATAGTGTGACACCCACAAAAAGCTGCCCCTCCACTCCCCAGAAATTCACATTCATTCAGTTTGGCTACATCTGGTTAAACCCAATTGGGTTTAGTCCTTCTCCCATGGAAGCCCACAGAGCATCTTGCAGGTGAGCAGTGGCAGGAGAAGTTCCCCATTGCACCAGGAGATCCTGTTCACTCAGCTTGGCTCAGCATGAACCCACTGGGTAACAATTGTTTCCTAAGGAGTCCCACTGGCATTAGTTCAAAGGGGCGAACATCAAATTGGGGCAAAGGTTGTTGTGTTAAACAAGCATAGAAGGAAAGCTGAAAATACCAGACCATATTCCATGGACTTGGGAGGCTGCATAGGATTTAAATGCATTTTCAATAAAACATAATTAAAACATGATACTTTCATGAGCACATATAAGTTATTTAACTTACCTTATTGAACTTAAACTGCATGCAACTTTAAAGAGTAGTCCAACTACTCTTACTGAGTCACAGCTCAAGAATATACTGCCATAAATCCACAAAGGTATTTCTCTCTGTGTGTTGCAGGGAGAAGAGGAGATCCAGAGCCCTGAGCTGTCCTTGCTACTTTCTTGCTTCCAGGTGTTGTGCAGGAACATGGGCAGATCCCTCCATCCGTGACTAAAAGACATCTTTGCAGGACACAGCATTCTCAATACCTCAGGATCTGCAGTGCTGCCTTTTTTGTAACACGCTGTATGCCATTATAACTTCTGATAATAAGAGGCTCAGAATTTACCTACTGACACATAAAATTGTAGGCATTTTATACAATCTAGATGAAACTTTAAATACCACTGAGTATTCTTATTTGCTGTTGAAACAGAGGCTTTGTTGAGCTCTGAGTGGGATTTCTTTCTAACAGGTCTCAGCAAGACAATAAGGCAGTGCACTTTCCCCCTCCAAACCGAGTTAAAACAGCAAGAAATCACTGACTCAGGTTTAGTGCTTCTGGTCCTTTCCTACAGGTTCAGCAAGGACTATAAATACATTTACAAGGTGCATGCTATAGAAACAGTAGGCAAAAATGTTTATTTAAAGTATTTCTTTATTAGGGGTACAAGCTCTGAATACCTCAGAATACCTGGCTCTATCTTGGCTTTTCAAAATACGTGTTGAACACGCACAACTACTAGAAAAAGCAATGTTGAATTCAGGCGTAGCTTAACAGAAAGGCTGTTAAGACAGGGACTGAGGCACAGCCACTTCTGACTTTCAACTTTGTTTTTACTTCAAATTTTGCCTTCAAAACCCAGATAACCCAGGCAGCAGAACACGTGAACATTCCTGTGAGGTCTGAGTGCTGTACAAACACGTACTCTGTCACAAGCCATGACCACAGTGTTTTGTCCCGCCTCAGGGAAGAGCAGATTGCCAGCCAGCAGTGCAATCTCAGAGATAAATACTGCTAATTCTATTCTGTAGGTTTCAGTGGTGAAACCTATAGCAATGAAATTTTCTATTTAGCAACAAAAGCCTCTTGGAAATCACCAAGATGTGTCATTAGCCAGTGTGGCTTGCCCTCCAGGGAAGCCCCAGCACAGGGAGAGATTTGGCATATGCTTCTCTACACACAAGGAGCAACAAGGTGACAATACAGAGCTGGACCTAGGGTCTAGGACATGCTTACTGACATGGTGCTGTCCTCACTGTCAAAAGCACTTCACACCCACCTTTGTAACTAGGCCTGTGCTAATCATCTGAATCCATTTAGTAGGTTGTTCAGTACCTAATTTCTGAAGGCAGTTTAGGCAAAATCCTCCTATTGAAACTCGTAAGAGTGGGGGAAAGATTGGCTTGAAAGAATTGTATTGATTGTGACATGACAATCAGCAACAGAAGTACAGTAAACAGATGCTAAGGTCTTCAAGATTAGGTCACTGAGGTCTGTATATCCACCAAAACATACCAAATATTTCCATTTCATTAGGCGTTTAGTATTTTTAACATCTTGTCAGATTAGCTCCTGAGCTGATACCCAGCCTAATGATATGAAATTAAACTTTATATATTTAGAAAAGTATATTTTTCACTTATATGACTACAAGCCACTTTGCAGTCTCCTTAGGGGAAACCTATGAGGATTAAGAAAATTAAGTTATTAGAGCAGCCAAAACCTAGACATTTTCAAAATAATATGAGGTGTGTTTCATAGATCCACAGGGTGGAGAACATTAATCTTTTGCTGCCATTCCTTTAAAAAGGATCAGCCTTCCCTGCGAGCCCCAAACACTTCACATAGCTGTTACATTCCCTAGCCAGACTCCGAACTTGCACATGTGGTGGTGTGGATACTCCTCCCTGTTCTCCAGGGCTCACAGACCTTGGATCAAGGTCCTTAACCTCTCTGTATTATGTCCAACATCCCATTATAATAAAACACCATTGTAAAGAATATCATCAGATGATGAGGTAATGTTATTTACCATGTCCGGAAGGAAGGTTTTCCTGTTTGTGTCTGAAGTACACCGGAAACATCACCATTTGCGTATGGAAAAATGATGTCGGGCAAGCACTGCAGACACAATTGGTCTGTAGTAAACCTGTCGCTGCCAGAGTCTGCACCATGGTGTTCCCTGATGCAGCCCGGGACCATCGCAGCCACATACACCTGCATGGCCATGCACTGATTCTACCGCTGTAACCAAGGGAGGGGTTGGTAAGAACTTGTTCTTACAGGGAAATCCTTGACTGCAGCAAAGGGAGGACAGTAAGTGAATCGGATTGGGCAGTAGTGCTTGGTGGCAATTTATAGTCTCTGTGGTCTGCCGGACTCTGCAGAGTCTGCTCAGGGCTGGGCTGGGACTGAGAGGGAGGGTGTGAGGGAGGCTCCCTGCCTTCAAGCACTGCTGATGGGCTGCAAAGCCAGGAGGAGGGAGAGTGTGGGAAGCTGACCTAGGCAGAGGTGCAGGAATTAGAGGAGTTGAAGAAAGAATCAGCAGTAGCAGAAGAGTTTGTTGGACTTTATCCTTTCTTCTTTTCAATGCAAAAAGAGAAAACAATGAAGAGAAATCCTGATATTTACTAAAGCAGGGGTGTAATATAGCTCCATAAAGGAGCTACACACAGCCAACAGTGTAGAAAACACAGCCAACAGTGTAGAAGCTGTGGGACATGCACTAGCTATGAAAGAACACCTAACAGAAGTTATTTATGTGTGAAGTGAGCTCTGACAGAGCTCACAGGGGAGAAAATCAGAGGATTAAAAATGCATTCAGAAACTAAATGTTAGAACTAAGCTGTGAGAGAGGAGTGGATGAATACGCTGTACAGAAACATCAGGAACTGCATGTGCAGTTCTAAGAAGACGACTCATCTGTAGAAACATAATCACAGAGAAAAAGCAGTATTAATCCCGATTACGAGAAGATTGTGCATTTAAATGAAAAGTTAAAACAAGTAAGTAAACACATGCCTGTAACTAAATATTTTGTAAAGTAAAACTTTTGAGAAGTTAAAGGGAGTAGTGAGTGAGCAGTGCCTGTAAGGGAGTTACACGTGGAAGAAACTCCACATTTTTTGCATTAAAAAATAAAAAAAAAAACCACACCAAAAAATGCTTTCTAACTTTCCCCCAAAAAGGGAAGCTGAGGGGAGACAGCTGATGAAGAGGGGAGGGCTCCAGAACCTGACTGGCTGACCAATGGGCCAGCATGAAGACAGATATTTAAGAGAAAGTAGAGAGCCATGAAGAATGGAAGTAAGAACCCATGCCAAATGACAACAGTAAAAGTGCTGGAGGTGTTGTGAAGTGAAAGTATACTGTGAGGATGCCAAAACCCAAGCAGAGTTTCACTTTATTCTAAAAAAAGTATTAAAAAGTTCTTCAGTTTAACAAACATTAGAGGAAACAAGGGAAGGCGGCCATGCTGCTTGGTGGATGAAAAGAAATTGTAGCATAACATAGTTTGTCTCAAAACAGACAGCAGTCACTCAAAGAGGTTATCATCCAGAACACAGAGCAGAGGCAACAAAAATCACCACGTATAAGCTAGAATTCAGAGTCCAAGAGGCACATCTCCTCTTCAGAATGACAAGAGAATTGCCATGTAAAATTGGCAGGTCCTGGACAAAGTGTTTCATGTTTTTTTTCTTAAACACACTTTTTTTTTACCTAGAAGCTTGGGGTGAAGGTGATACTGTAAATTATCACCAATGAAGGAAGAGAACACGAGTGCTTGAGGGCACACCATGCAACTGCATCTGCTGCTGCCATCAGGCAGGTGCTCAGGTAGAGAAAAGTATGACAAGACTGTATGGATGACAATTTCCTCCTGCAAATGGTGGATGAGCCAACCAGGAGAGGAGCGCTGCTGGATCTCATCCTCACTAACAAGGAGGATCTGGTCGAAGCAGTAAGGGTTGAGGGCTGCCTTGGTTGCAGTGACCACGAGATGGTGGAATTCAGGATCTTGTGTGGTAGGACTAGTAGAATAGCAAGTAGAATTGCAACCCTGGACTTTAGCAGGGCAAACTTTGGCCTTTTCAAGCAATTGCTAGGGGAAATCCCATGGGCAAGGCTGCTTGAAGGTAAAGGGGCCCAAGATAGTTGGTTGGCATTCAAGGATTGCTTTTTCCGAGCTCAAGATCGGAGCATCCCGACATGTAGGAAGTCAAAGAAGAGGGCCAGGAGACCTGCGTGGCTAAATAGGGAATTGCTGGGTATGCTCAAGTGGAAGAGGAGAGTTTACAGGTCATGGAAGGAGGGGCTGGCCACTTGGGAGGAATATAAGGCTGCTGCTAGAGGATATAGGAAGGCAGCTAGGATGACTAAGGCCTCCTTAGAATTAAACCTGGTGAGAAGGGTCAAGGACAGCAAAAAGAGCTTTTTCAAATACATGGCAGACAAAACTAACACCAGAGGCAATGTAGGCCCACTGATGAACGGGATGGGTGCCCTGGTGACAAGAAGATACACAGATGGCAGAGTTACTGAATGCCTTCTTTGTTTCTGTCTACTCTGCTGCAGGCAGTCCTGAAGAGCCCTGTACCCCTGAGACCTTAGATGAAGTCAGGTCAACGGAGCGGTTTGCCTTAGTCGATGAGGAATGGGTTAGAGACCAGTTGAGCAATCTGGACATCCATAAATCCATGGGTCCAGATGGGATGCACCCGCGGGTGCTGAGGGAACTGGCGGAAGTCATTGCTAGACCACTCTCCATCATCTTTACCAAGTCTTGGGGAACGGGAGAGGTGCCTGAGGACTGGAGGAAAGCAAATGTAACTCCAGTCTTCAAAAAGGGCAAGAAGGAGGACTCGGGTAACTATAGACCGGTCAGTCTCACCTCCATCCCTGGGAAAGTGATGGAACACCTTATCCTTGGTGCCATCTTAAGGCATATCAAGGATAAGAGGGTTATGAGGGGCAGTCAACATGGCTTCACCAAGGGGAAATCATGCTTGACCAATCTCTTAGCCTTTTATGAGGAAATAACACTGTGGATGGATGATGGTAGAGCGGTGGATGTGGACTTCAGCAAAGCATTTGACACAGTCTCCCACAGCATCCTCACAGCTAAATTGAGGAAGTGTGGACTGGATGATCAGGTAGTGAGGTGGACTGCGAACTGGCTGAAGGAGAGAAGCCAGAGAGTTGTAGTCTATGGGGCAGAGTCTAGTTGGAGGCCTGTAACTAGTGGAGTGCCTCAAGGGTCAGTACTGGGACCAGTATTATTTAATATATTCATCAATGATTTAGATGAGGGAATTGAGTGTACTATCAGCAAGTTTGCTGATGACACTAAGCTGGGAGGAGTGGCTGACACGCCAGAAGGCTGTGCTGCCATCCAGCGAGACCTGGACAGGCTGGAGAGTTGGGCAGGGAATAACTTGATGAAATATAACAAGGGAAAGTGTAGAGTCCTGCATCTGGGCAGGAACAACCCCAGGTTCCAGTATAGGTTGGGGAATGACCTGTTAGAGAGCAGTGTAGGGGAGAGGGACCTGGGGGTCCTAGTGGACGACAGGACGACCATGAGCCAACACTGTGCCCTTGTGGCCAAGAAGGCCAATGGCATCCTGGGGTGTATTTGAAGGGGGGTGGCTAGTAGGTCGAGAGGGGTCCTCCTTCCCCTCTACTCTGCCCTGGTGAGACCGCATCTGGAATATTGTGTCCAGTTCTGGGCCCCTCAGTTCAAGAAGGACAGGGAGCTGCTGGAGAGAGTCCAGTGCAGGGTGGACAGATGATTAAGGGAGTGGAGCATCTCCCTTATGAGGAAAGACTGAGGGAGCTGGGTCTCTATAGTTTGGAGAAGAGGAGACTGAGGGGTGACCTTATTAGTGTATATAAATATATAAAGGGGGAGTGTCACAAGGATGGAGCCAGGCTCTACTCAGTGGCAAACAATGATAGAACAAGGGGTAATGGGTACAAACTGGAACACAAGAGGTTCCACTTAAACTTGAGAAGAAACTTCTTCTCAGTGAGGGTGACAGAACACTGGAACAGGCTGCCCAGGGAGGTTGTGGAGTCTCCTTCCCTGGAGACATTCCTAGGTGTTCCTGCTCCGGCAGGGGGATTGGACTAGATGATCTTCTGAGGTCCCTTCCAATCTCTAGCATACTGTGATACTGTGAAGACAAGCATCGCTGAGAGCACAGTGCACCACACTTAAAGCTTTTCCTTGAAAAACAGGCCTCACACCAGAACAGACTCACAGAGAAGTGACTAGGAATGACTGTAAGAACTGAGAGCCTGGTTAGCTCATGAAGGTGAAAAAGAACTGAGAATGCAACTGCCATTTCAGATAAGCCCGAGAGGAGTGATAGTGTGGGGGGTATGCTGTCCAGGCTGGAGGCAGTGCTGAGCCAGAGCGAATGGGCAGCGAGTGCCTTCTGCCTGGATAGCCTACTGACTGCTAAATGTTTTCTCTGTATTGCAGGATGAAGCTCTGGAAGTCAGCAGCATTCACAGCAAGACTCAAATGATCCTGAAGAGCAGCCTCACTGGTTTATAGAGAGGGTTGATTTTCCCACTGAGGGGTGGCTGTGTAAGTGCACCTGGCCAGAGCACCTCCACTTTACTAGCATTATGATCATAATAACTTTCTTATAAAAACAAATTTTGACTGTGGTTCCAGAGCCACAGGTGTTCTCAGAGTAATCTTTAGTCACCAGGCTTTGTCCATTTGCCAACATCAGTGCCAACAAGTCTCAGCCATAGGGGTATTTGATACGCAATGCCCGAGAATTTTCAAATGAGGCATGGAGTAACACACAGATAAGAAATCTGTTTCCTCACAGATACTGGGATAAATTGGAATAGACAAAGGCTTTTCAGAAGAGCTATTTTCTGTTTAGGAAATTGATTATAATTGAGATGCATAATATGAATTATCCTACCACACTGAAACATCAAGCTGCCATTCTTTTTTAGTGGCTTGCAGCAGAATTATG